CTCTGCCAACAGTTTACCTTTTACTTTTATTTTTTTTATTTTTGAGAACATTCAAGCCCTACTCTCTTAGCAAAATTCATTTATACTCAACTTCACCAACTATAATCATCTCATTACACATTCAATTCTCAGACCCTATTCATCTTTGAGCTGAGCATTCTCACCCTTTAACCAACCTCACTTTTCCCCACCCAGCAGCCTCTGGCAACCGCTTTACTATTCTGTTTCTATGAGCTTTACCGTTCCTTTTTTTTTTCAGTTTCTACATATAAAGTGATACCATGCAGTCTTTGTCTTTCTGTAGCCAGCTTATTTCACTTAGCATAACGCCTTATAGGTTCATCTACATTGTTGGACATGACAGGATTTCCTCCTTTTATAAAAGGCTGAATGATGCTCCTTTGTATCAATATTCCACGTTTTTGTTTATCCATATGTCTGTCAATGAACATTTAGATTTCAGACTTCTGGCCTCCAGAGCTGTGAGAGAATAAATTTGTTAGGTCAGCCACGAGGTCAAATGAAATAACACTTGTAGAGCATGCCACCAGTTGCTGGAATATACTCATTTACTTACTTCTTCAATCATTCATTCAACAATAATAAGTAGCTACTATCCTAGGGCTGTTTTAAATACTAGCTAGGAGTATGGGGGCAAAAGGGAAGTTAGCTCTGAGAAAATTTTATTTCTTATAGTTTTATATAGCATTCTGTTACAAGGTGAGGTTCCTTTTCTTTGAATCACCAGCTCCATGTTATTAAAATGCTTTCCTTGCTCTGGTGAAACACACACACACCTAACACCATAGTTCTAATTTCTACTCATACCACATTCTAGAGCTCCTCCTCTTCACATCCTTGCCAATCCCTAAATCAACTGAAATCTCCAACTTGTCTGCATGGAGAGCAAACTTAAAAGCTGTCCCAAATATAAACAGGCTACTATGCATTGCAAAGCACTCCTGGCACTTGTCTCAATAGAAACAGCAAGCTAACCTTCATTCAAATTTTGCCCAATCTCTCTGCATTCTGGAACATCATCTGTAAACTAGATATAGGTTATTTGGTATTTGGTCCTTATCCACATTTATCAGTTTTATTTGTTTTTGATTTCTCTAGACCATGTAAATGTCTCCTTCCTGTGGGAAAGAGCAGAGGTTTTAGTAATTTCATGATGAAAACATCCTGGTTGGTAACAGATACTGACTCTAATGATATTCAATCCATGGAAGGAAAGTTATTTTCATGATGGAAGCTTTTCTCTTTAAATTCAGTTACAACAGAGACTAGAAAACAAACTTTGTAACATTTATGGCACCTGCAATTTGAGCATAATATCTTGCCCTAGATAGGATTAAAACTGTGATACCCCATAATATTCATATCATAGTTCCCTATGTCACTAAAATATGTGCCCTGCTCTTTTGCTTTCTGAACTAATTCTTTACTTTTATAAAGTAAATTTTTCATCACCAGTTTCCCCTATACATTGTAAAAATCCTAGAAGAGACATTTCTTTCAGGAAGTGACTGTTATGACAGCATTATAAACAGCCAAATATATCTAGATTAATATAAATGTCCTGCATGTGACAATTTGCCCCCACCAGAAGTGATTCTTTAATAAGATTGAACAATTTACCTGAGAAAAGCACTTGACAGAGACAGAAACTGTGTCACTTGTTCAAAGCAGGGACTCAGACAAATATTTTCATCTGGCTCTTGCTCAATGCCTGACTTTAAGCTACACATCAATCACATTTTTATCCATCACCCTTTAAGCATTGCTATTGTAACCAACCTGAGAAAACTGCAAGGCTTAAAAATGTGTGTTCTGTTCCATCTAGCAGGCAGTTGATTAGATGGACTTCAAGGCAGTGGACAAATGGATTAATTGGGTTCAGGAAGAAAAGGGAGCCAGAAGAAAAGTAATGATATCAACTACCAGGCAATGCTAGGTTGGGTAGCTCTGTCTTTTTCTAAATCTTGGAATCAGGCCAGGGTCACTGATTCTAATTAGCAACAGACCAGCTCCTTATCCCAAACAGGTCCCGTGGAGCTGAAGAAAATGAACCTGGTCTGCCAAGTCAGAGCTTGCATTTAATTTGGGGAGGGAAATGGGGAGAGAACACTTGGCCAAATCCTCCTGCTGGGCTCTCCCTTGGGCACCAAACAGCCAGAGGAGGGTAAAGAATGGGTGGAAAATAAAACACAATGGGGGGGATCATGAAGATAGACAAAGATGTGGGGGGAAAAGATGGGTGGGAGGGGGAAGAAGGCGGTAGAGGCATGCCAGATAACCCATCAGAGACATCTTTTCAAAGCATATCAGTTCGTTCCACCTCATTTTCTTATGCTTCCTACTTTCATAGCAATCTAAAGGTCATGTAATGACTGGGCATCTTCTGAGCACCTCCAATGAATGTATTGGGCACTCTGTGAGGAACTTTGCTTACATCGCTTCGTTGAATCCTTGCAGCAATCCCATGTAATCAGTTATTTAACATGTAAAAATCCCGAAATTTAGAAAAAAAGCAAGTTGTATCTCCAGTTTGTGGCAAAGGCATAATTCAATTCCGAGTTTGCCTGATTCCAAAGCTCACGGACTTGTCACGCTACCAATAGAATAAAAATAGTAAGGGAGTGTCTCATTAACTCCTGCAAGGGGAGATTTTTAAAATCAATACTTTAATTTTAATAGAAAGGCCATTGCTGAAAGAATGTATTGCTTTGGGGAATATCCCACCGAGATAAAGGCCCAGGAAAAGATGTTGCTGCTGCTCAGTTAATATTTCCTGTGAAACATCCAACAGGGAAACCTGGGAACTAGTGTTTAAAATGTTCATGTGCTGGAGTACCTGGAAATAGGAATTTTCATTATGAGCTACCATGAGACATCAACCTATAAAATGGAAAATAAGTGTATAATATATATACTTGGTGCTAAATTAGACACTGCATATTACATTTTCTAATGAATGCTTGCAGAAGAAAAAATTAAAATTGAGAAATAATGTGTTGAGTATTATTTTTCAATAGTGTCTTCCTTAATGAGTGTTTTACCCTGTTCCACTTCAGGATACCAGGTTTTCATGCAGAATTTGAAACCCCACACTTTGGGAAAAGTTTGTCCCACAATGGGCCTGAAATTTTGCAATTGAGGGCAAATAACTATTGATATGATAGCAGTTATAAAACTGCTCACTTCTCATCACCTAATTATGAGAAGATTGAAATTCCCACAAGGAAGCTCAAATTCTCACTTGATTAGTTTGGAAATCTGAATTTACAAAAATTCATAGTAATTGACTAGACGCAGAGTATAACGAAGCATGGAAAGAATGTAGCAGAGTGATTGAAAAAAATCATTTTGTGAATATCTTCTTAAATTCCGTATTTGCTATGTATTTCAGTGACTACGTAATTTTTTCCTTGACCTCTTAAAGTGCATGTTTTTTGTTGAGCCTAACTGTATTAATTCTTGCTCTAACCAAATCCCCAACATTCATGACCCCCCATTGAGAGCATGCTCCCCAAATTCCATGATACCTGAGAATCTGAGTTTACCTTTTGAGCCTTTCTATGAGTAGTGAGACATTATAAAGTTTTGACTTCTAGAAACTGAGTTATAAAGGAATACATCTTGTAATATTGTTGTACCCAGTAGTCTGTTGCCCCTCCAAACCCTCTCCCCTGCTCCCTATCCCAAAGCCTGGCCTCCTTGGACCAACTCCCCGGGGCTCCCTTGAACTCAGTTTCCGCTGCAGTTGGGCCAGTGGGAGACACCACTGGGAGCGCAGACAGCAGGAGGAGGGTAGGTTCTGTGTTGGCAGCTGTGTTGGCAGCTGTGCTGGCAGTGGCTACAACCCGGAAGCCCCTGTCCAATGGTGTATTAGTTTCCTAGAGCTGCCATAACAAATTATCTCAAACTGGAAGGCTTACAACAACAGAAATTTATTCTCTCACAGCTCTGGAGGCCAGAATTCCAATCAAGGTGTCAGCAGGGCCGTGCTCCCCCTGAAGGCTCTAGGGGAGAAAAAAACATATTTTTTTTTTACTTCCTCCAGCTCTGGTGGCTCTAGGCCTTCTTTGGCCTGTGGCTGTGTAGGAGTCCAATCCCTTCCCATTGTCTTCTCTTCTTATGAATAAAATAACCATTGGATCTGGGGCCCATCTGGACAATCCAGAATGATTTCACTGTGAGACCTTTAATTATACCTGCCAAGACTTTTTCTAAGTAAGGTCACAGTCACAGGCTCTGGATGAGTGCATCATTTATGGAACCATGTTTCAACCTACTACAGAGGGTATAGTTCCGAAGGGTCCTAGTTGTTGTTCTCTTCTCTTCTCCTTCAGGCTTCCTCCTGTTGCTAGGACCTCCATACTGCACCACTCATGGGTGAGCCCCTTAACTGACTCAAGATACACAAAGAATCCCTAAATTAAACCTGCTTACATTATCCTTCTAAATGTACATGGACCCTGACTTAGATATTTATATAAATTATGTGGTTCAGTGTTGAAGATGTTTTAAAAAACTAAACATAACCTTATCAATCAAGATTCTGACAGAAATTCTCAATTTCAGCCATGGACTCACCCACCCTCAAAAGAATATATCTTCGTTGATTCATCCAGCAGAATTCAGCACTGAAAACTTTAGAATACACTTATAAAAAGGCCACAGGGGCTGAGGAACTAATTCTTTGTGCTATATGACAGCTAGAGTTTCTAATTTTGGCAGTCTGTGAAAAGGAACAAGTAATCTTTATAATGAAGGTCTCCCCACCCTCCACTAAAACATAATAAACTTCCATAAACATATTTACATATGATTTTAAAATTCCCCCAAATAATGGTAGAACTCAGTGAACCAAACTGTAGTAAAACTAATTATGTCACACCGTGTAAATCAATCCCTGAAATTACTACAACAGACTGGAGTTTACACATTTTTAAACAATTTCTTTGATATTATGTAGATGGCAACTTACACTCGTTTGTGTTCACTCCTTCCTGATGTTTAAACATTCCTCCATTCTCTCTCTCACTGATGGTCTAGCTCCACAGGAACACATGCAAAGCACAATTTTATCTGTCAAATTAAAGAGAATTCTGGCAAAATATTCAGAGACTGAAATTTTTAAATATCCATTTCTCATTTGCAGAATAACTGTGTTGGACTTGATAATTTGGTCTTTTAGGCTGCTTTCTGGGGTATCCTGGAATTTACATAAATTTCCAGGAAGAAATCAGCCACTCTATCATGTCATCACCATGATGTCACGAGAAATCCTAAGGCCCCTAAGGGCTATCACTAAATAAAGCAAAGTTGTTTAAATTTCCAACTAAATTTGGAAAGTGTTCTGTGTGTCAGAATTAAATTCCATTCATGGGATCTGCCTCCTGCCGATAAAGGCCAAAACTCATCTAAAACTCCCTGCAGCCAATGCTTCAGCAAGTTCAAACCGAACCTCTGACCACACCAGCGCAAGACAAGCAAGTGCACAGAAATAGGGCTTATTGCTACTCCTGGACGTCCCCAGTCCTGTGGGGTGTTTAACACTATCAAATTTCATTTTCTTCACAGGTCCCTACATGCCTCTGCCTGCCAGGTGTGTGTACCTAGAGAAACTGGATGCAGGTAATATATTTAAACCATGTTGTTAAGGGAAGGTTGTTAATAGTTACTATGCCATCACTCATTCATTCATTCACTCATTCATGACAAATATTCCAAGTGGGCCATATACATCTTCAAAATTAATGCCTACTATTTTCTAGACAAACTTTCAAATATAAGAGCATCTCTTAAAAATATCTAAAGCGAATCTTCCCTTTACGGTGTTCATATAACAATTTAAGGGAAGCAGTGAGAGAAAAACGACATTTAGCAAATGGAGAAAATGCATATATAAGTGTGCATGCATGCATATACATATGCATATGTGAAATATGTGTGTACATATTCAAAATTATGGCTTGAAAGGCATTTGCCAAAATTCAGGACTCTGTGTAAAAATAGCTCTATGTCTGTATCAGTTAGTTTCTTTAGGAAACTTTAAAAAAATATAATATTTTTGATGGCTTTACCCTGTGCTGCCCAGCTACATTAAGATAACAGTAAACTACATTCTTATGGCTGTCATAACATTTAGCTTGGTGCTGCTTGCAAAGTGAGTAATCTATTAAGATATATAAGGTGCAAAATGCCGCCTTTGTGTCTTGGAGTTCCAGCTATCAGCTGTAACAACCGAGTGCAATTACTGCCAGTGTGGGGCCTGGCTGCTTCCCACCACGGCCCTCATAGGCCAGAGAGTTTGCAGCAGTGACCCTTGGCAGCCTTGGCCACCGCCACTGGGGCCGCCCAGAGCTCCTTCGCCTGGTCTCTGTTCCCTCGACTCCCTCCCCTCTCCTCTTTCGTGCCTGTCATCAATCTTACTAAAATGACAGCAGACAGATGTTAGCCTTTGCAAAGATCAAATGAAATCTATGGCTTTGGGGCTGTTCACCAAGGAGCAGATCAGTCTACACCCAGTGCAGGCACCTACACTGGTGACAACCCACCTAGACTCAATTTGCCAGCCATTGTCAGTGTCTCTCTGTGAGCACAGACCACTCAGAAATGGATTTTGACACAGTTTAATCCTTCAGAGAGGTTTGATGATGGACTGTTGGGAATTTCTCGCCAGTGTGTGTCTGTGTGTATGTGTACATGCATTTGAAAACAATTACTGATGTGTATGTTACAGGAGACAGTACTTATTCTGGGCACAAACTCATGATTTTTAACCCCTTCTTTCAAAACCTGGACTATACACCAAGTGCCCCACTCCTGCCACTTGCCCTTGAGTTTTCATTATTTCTTTTCCTGAGCAAACATTACTCCATACCATCACTATGCTGCATGTGCCCTTGTCTCATGCAATTTCTTAACATCAATGTACGGGACTATTTATCCCCAATAGAAATGTTTACCTAATCTGGAAAATGTCAGGCCATATGGTGTACATTGTAGGAATTTCATTCATCCTTTTTAACTCTTTCTGAAAGTCTTTTTCCCCCTGCTGCCCATTTGTTGCAGACCAGGCAGAAATGATTAAAGGGGATGGAAATCAGAAGAGAGAGGCCGGGATGGGTGGGAGAGAAGGAGACAGGAGCACAGATGGGGCATGGGAGAGGCTTCTCTCCTTGCTGAGTGTGACATCTTGTGAACCAAAGGCCAAGGGAGTCTCAGGATGAAGGCAACCTTCATGTAAAGTTAGAGCAAATCCAGAAAGGAAAAAAAAAAAAGCAAACCACATCAACAGTGACCTAAAGATGAATATGATGCATTATGAATAGCAACATCCCCATGGGCTACCTGAAATTCAGAGACCAAATTCCCTTTAGGCTCTTATTTCCCTCATCACCTCCTAGAAATAATGAACTCAACTGCATGAAGAAAAGAGCGACCAACCCTCCAGTACTTTGAGCTGAAGCAAATGTTTCTGTAATGTATCTTTCTACAGTATCTTAGTAAAAGATAGATAGCTATTTAAAATAAGCGATATCAAGGAAGAATAAACTATTATGTTTGTGCCAATGCTTATTCATGGTTTTATAACAAGACATATCTGTTTTCTTCATATAAATCTTGACTCTATATTTAGAGTTTGCAAACAATGATTCTAGTTTTTGGCTGCCTGCCACTTCTGATAGAAAGCTGGGATAGCCGTACTACATTACTATAACATTAAAAAAAATTCCCAAAATTTCATGTGCAGAACTTCCTAACAGACAAGAGAAAAGAGAAAGTGTTCATATGTATACAGAGAAGAAATGAGGGCAAAGGGTTACAAACTTCAGGGAGGAGCCTGAGCTGATGCTACTTTTTTTAAATCAGTCCTCCTGAAGTGTATCCCCAGGGCTGTAGAAACCGAGTGGGGACTACCATTTTGGGTCTCTTCTGGCCTTCCTTTTACCTCTAATCAAAAGATTCTCACTCTGTCTTAGAGTCAGTCCATTTTTAAATGAAGAGTGAACAGCCACCAAACATTCAGAAAATAGTGCTAGTTTTAACCATTACTGTTAGCAGCGTCAAGTAATGTGATATATTTTAGAACTTGAAGCTCCCTAAACAATTTTTTTGTCTCCTATCTCTCTTTTTATACTGAATACTGCTTAACACACTTATGGGTACCAGAAAACTGTCATTAGCATTAGCTTAATCTTTTTTCTTGATCCTAAGAAAAGAGAAAAAGAAAGCAATAATTTCTAAGGACAGGCAATTCCATGGACTTTACAATCTAGCATTTTAGAGGTGTGTAATTAGCTCAGGAGAATTCATTCATTCAATTACAGTATGTTCATACATTCACTCAACCAAAAAATACTTTGTACTGTTTCCAAGCATTCTGCTGAGGACACAGCTCAAAGAAAGACAGGATCTCTCCTTCAAGGGTCTCCTATCCAGATGCCAAAGTGGGTGGAATCAACAGGTCTTATAAAGGCTATAAGTCACTATAAGTGTGGATGTAATAGCGAGCACCTGGAGCTGTGTGATCTCAGTCACTAAGGAAACCTAACTGCTTTTGGGTGTTGGAGAAGGATGTGGGAAGCGGTATCTTCTGAGCTGCCTTAAAGGAAGAAAAAGGCAGTCGTGGCTATTCAGGACAAGGACAGAGGCCTGAGAGAGCAGATGAGTAGCGTGGTGTGGTCACAGGGTAGAAAACCTGGTGTGGGGATGGAGGTGGTGGTAGCAGACAAAGGCCCGGGAAGCAGACAGCTGAGTTAAATCCTGAAGGGCCTTAGGCATCCAGAGTCCTGTGGCCTGGACAGGATGACTTCTACAGCTGTGAGGCTGCCACTAAAATCCCAAGTAGGAAAACTCTCATGGAAAGGATAGCAAAGCCATGAAAAGATATCCTTTAACCTGAGAAAGACATACATGAAAATAAGAACTAAACAGAGTGACTAAAGCATAGCACAGGTCCACGACTCAAAAGTAAGACTATAGTTTTGATATTTCATAAAAGTGAAAGATGCCCAGTAGCCCTCAGTTCTGAGATTAATTCAGGAAAACATAACTGACTTGGGAAAAATGATAAAGGAAACTTCAGAAAAATAAGGAAAAAAATATAGGGATGGGGAGGGAAGGGGACCTCTGAATGAACTTGTCACAAAGTTAAATATATTACTAGTAAAAATTGTTTCTTACTGAAAAAGTAGAGGAAAAGTCAAGGATAGCTGACACAGACACAGACATTCTAGAGTTTGAAGGACCAGCCTTGGTTATCCCAGGCACCACGATTTTTAAATCACATCTAGAAAAGAGAAAAAGCAAATGCATTAGTTCAATTTAAAACCAGGGTCATTCAGCATATCAATTAAAAGTACAAAGTACTTTCCCCACATTCCTTCTACCTAATTTTCAAATACATATTGGTACTTTAACTGAATATTTTATCACAATTAGTGTGGAAGTGATAGGAGGCCATAGAACATACTGAACTTTTCATTACGAAAGTGGATTGAGCAGGACAAACACTGAATTGTTAATATCTTAAAAACAAGAATATTAATTATTAAACAGTAATAATAATATATGGAGTTATTTGCAAGAGAAATGAAATGTGCCATTTAACCATTTTCTAATTCTCCCATTTGTATATTTCTAATAATAGCCTTATTCAGTTATATAGATAGTTGAGAAATATATCACCAACTTGTCTGTCATAAATAGGGACATTAGCAATAGGCATGCAGAACTAGTAATTGGGATCTCTTGTGGGTTACCTAGAACCTTACTTTGAATGAGTCAGGATAAGGTAAAATTGAAAATAAAGTATGATCAATAGCATATTTTAAAATGCAGGCTCACCTTCAGAGAGGGTAAACTGAGAAGATAAAGAAAGGAAGGAAGGGAAGGGAAGGGAAGGGAAGGGAAGGGAAGGGAAAGAAACTCTGTTTCCCGGATACTTTCAGCTCACAAATCAATTGGCCATGGAAATGTCTGTTTATAGAACCATCAAAATAGACAATAAAGACTTGTGATTTTTTTTCCAAAAAATTAAATGAAATTGTTTTGTGTCTCTCAGATGAATGTATAAAGACAAAATATTAATGTTAAGTAAGCTAAAACCCATACCCCTGTAATCCTTGTCTACCCAGTAACTCTGTAGGATGCTTACAAGTCTCTCAGCAAGAATTATGCAAGGGGTAAGTTATGCCCTTTCCAATAAACGCTTCTTGTTAGAGCAAGGAACCAAAGACAGAAGGGAAGGATCTTGGGGACAGAACCCAAAATGGAAGTAGTAGAAAATGCCTTGCCATGAATACATTCAAACTTTAAATGCTTAGTCATTTGTACAATGGAAAGGGACATATACAAAATCTTAATCTCAAATAAATCAACGACCTTAGCCAATTTCTTTTTCTAACATAAACTTAATTCTAGGCTCATTTTTCTAATACTCTGCACATCAGACACAGTGATGCAAGTTATTTAAATGTGAACTTGCCTCTATATACTATTCTAAATTTGTCTCTATAGAGGTGTTTTGAAATTGAAAGGGTTTTTTTTCCCAATCTAATGCCCTCAAGGTTTAAATAAAATCTCAAAACTGTACACTCACCATGGATTGATGAAACATTGCCACCTATAACTGAGATTAGGTTTTCTAAAAATGGTGTGTAAAACAACACCTATGCCTCCAGGAAAACAGCAAAAATGTTCTCTGCATTTCCTTATTGCTCAATATATGAATAAAATAGTACTAATTAGTAAGTAATAACAATTACGGGACACAGTACTTACTGAGCCAGACACTCCACACACATTATCTCACTTAATCCTCCTAGCTTACTTATGAGTATCACCCTCTGCTTTGTCAATAAGAAACGAAAGGTCAGATACACTAATAACTTGCACATAGCTATAAATAGAGGGGTTGCTAGTCACATCCAGCTCCATCGAGCTCTGGAATTCATGCTATTAAACACTATATTCTCCTGTCTCTCCAAATTAAGTGGTTTGCAGTCCCAGTTCAAATGATAAACAAACACTTGCCCCATCTTTACTGCAGAATCAGATGTAAACTTAACTAATAAATCCCAAACCTCAGATTCTCAGCAAAAGCCTTCAGGAAACAGTTTAGTGTGTGTCTGCCTCCCAGTGCCCTCAAAGGTACAGGATCAGCAGCCGGCCTGTTGCTACTAGAATATCTTGACACTGAGCATATCTTCTGGGATGGAACAAGTGTCCCTTTCTGGGCTCTGCACTCTGCACTGGCGTCCCTCAAGGGGTTAATCCACTCCATTCCAAAGTTCAGTGAAGGGACAATCAGAACTGAACAGCAGGGATTTTTAGAATGTTAATCGCCAGCTCTCCTCCGATTGGCCCAGAACAAATGCAGGGTACAGTAAATTGTCCTTGTCAGCTCAGCTCACATGATGATATGCTTTATTTCTAGACATGCCTTGAATCTGTCCCCTGAATTTATGTTCAGAAAATAAACACTTCCAGACGGCAATAAAGCATTCAGTTGTGGCTGGCGATTGCATAGTCTCAGACCCACCAAAGCTCTTTTCTTGGGAAGTTTTAAGGATTTGAGTAGTCCAGGTTCCCAAATCGTATTTCCTCCCCTGGCCAGCGGGGCATGCAAGTGTGCCATTGCAACCAGAGCCCCAGTTTCATGCCGGTCCCCCATTTTCCTCTCCCACCCTTACTCTGTTTTTCCTACTCTCACCTTTAGCAATTTTTGTTGCAAAGAATTTCATTTGGAGTTCTGTTGAAGCAAAACTTTTTTTTAATCAAGTTGTCAGATGAAAAGGAAATTGCCAAACCTATTTTATCCCTGTCATAAACCAAGTGAGATTATGTCTATGGAATATTACCACACTTCTCAAAACTTAGGTAGTCACTTACCATGTTCATAATTTTTGTCCAGATCTGAGTATTAGTTGTAATACTATTTATTCTATCATAAAAGTACTACAAATCAACTCCCATTTCATTGCTTAATTTTGTTCTGAAGAATGTACCAGGGATTTGAGGGCCATACATATGTTTTCTAATACACCAAACAACAAATATACTACTATCACATTATTTTAAATTCATCAAAGTACCTCTAAAAATCATTGTCCATACTACCAGTATGCATGCCATACACTTGGAGACCATAATCCTAGAACGACATAATGATCTCAAGCAAGAAGAGATAACAATATAAATAAATAAATTGCACTTGTAATAAAGATATCAAAGATTCAGGATATGAATTTTTCATAAAAGCTAAATTAAACAGCTGTTTCATTTTCACCTGAGGTGGCCAATGGGATAACTTGTGTGTAGGTGATTTGCTGACTAGATTGTGTGTGGTGTTGCTGATAAACCTGCAGTGCATGTTTACACCTTGTCATTTTTATAGTCACACTCTAACTCTACCTGGATATCTCTATGTGAGGCCGCTGAGACCTTGGCAAAACTAAATGGAACAGAACCAACCTCGGGAAGAGGTAGCAGGCAGGACAATGCCAAAGGGAAGAGAATGAGGTCTCATTGCAGATTGAACACTTCAAGGACTGAGCTGGGATTTACAAGTTTCTTTTGACTTAGAGAAGGGAAATTCAGTGAACTCTTCCATGTCCAGGTGAACTCTATAGAAGAATATAAGAGTCACGGTCAATGATTAAAACAGTGTGACTTGGCAGATAGCAAATTCCACCAAACGTTAGCAGTTTGGCTACCAGCACATGTTTCCACAGACTTGTGAGGACTCACCCCCCTGTGGCTCCTCTCTTCCACTGTAGTGACATTACATGCTTCCTCTTCTTTAGGAGATGACCGTGCAACCTCTCAGAAAGCATTCTTACAGCTTTCTCGTATTTTGTACCAAGATATATGACATCATCTCAGCTTACACATGGAAAAATTTTCATGTAAATATTAAGTTGAGATCGTACTTACCTTAAAGAGATAATGAAGGTCCGTATTCCTACATTGCAATTTTCTCATCATTGTCTATCTGCTTTTATTTATTAGTATCAATATTACCACTTACTTTAAGCCTGACCTAAATTTCTCTTTTCAGAAAACTTAGAAGCTTTTGTGTTTTCTCAGCCTGACTTCCTTAGTTATTGTTGTCTATAACCAATGATCTTCCAATTAAGATATAAGAATAATTTAGGGTCATAGAAAATAAACTCTAAGTTAGAAAGGTTAAGAGGAATGCTAATATAAGCTACAAATTGTGACAGCCATCCAAATGAATTAGAATGAGAGGCATATGAATTTTACGTGATTAGTCTTCAGTTATTTAGTAAACTAATATGTACCAAGCATGCACAGGGTACTAAGGAGGCAATGGAGCACAAGACAAAGCCTCTGCCCTTTTATAGATTATGTCCCAATGGAAAAGAAATACAAATTATAAAAAATAATGAAAAAAATGTAATAAAATTAGGAAAATAATATAAAGTAGAAAATAAAAGAAATTAAGTGTGATTATAGTCTTCTCTAAGACCTAAAGGAAAAGTAGAGCATGATATAAAGAACAGTCTAGACAAAGGCAATTACAAATAAAGATCATGAGCAGAAATGTGATTGACAGACCCAAGTATTTGAGGTAAAAGAGAGGCTCAGCTGGAATTGGGGAGTCAGGAAGGGCATGACCCTAGGAGGATCTTGTAGGCTTTAGGAATAAATTTAGATTTTTTCCCTACATGTAGTGACGGTCATTAAAGGATTTTAATCAAAAGATGAACTTCTTACAATTTGAATTTTTAGAAAATTACAATGGTTTCCACATGGACGGGGGCTGAGCGGGGCGAGGGCAGAAGTAGGAAGATCTGTTGGAGGCTGTGGCTCTGTTCCAGATGAGCGATCACAGCGGCTGGGCTCGGATGGCAGCAAGGGACGGACAGACAAGTGATTCAATATGAAGACCTGTGTTAGAGGTGCACTTGATAAATTTGCTGAAGCAGTGGACACCAGGGTTGAGAGGAAAAAAGAGGGAATCAAAGATAATACCTAAATTTCTAACTTGAGCCACTAGAAGCACAGTTGTTTTTCCTGATACAGGGGAAGCTGAGAGAAAGTGCAGGAGGGAAACAGCAGGCAGCATGCAAAGTTTAATTCTGAACAAGTCATCATTGCATCATCTGTCGGCTGCCTTCATTGCAATCTCAAGTAGAAAGCTGATGAGTGAGCCTGAAGCTCAGTCAGAGAGAAGATTCAAACCAACACCTGACTCCAAAGTCCATGCTCTTTCCACTCCATGATAACACCAGTCAAATAAGATTTTACCTGAAGGATCCTTAGTGTTCATTACTTCTAACATTAGCTTGACAATTAAATGTATACTTGCTTATACTTCATCTTTTGGAGTATTGTCATATCACTATACAAAGTCTTATAGAATGCTTCACAGGGGTGTCCAGCCTGTGGCCCACAGACTGCAGACAGCCCAGGATGACTACGAATGTGGCCCAACACAAAATAGTAAATTTGCTTAAAACTTTTTTATGGCTCTTTAGTTTTTGTCAGTGTTTGTGTATTTAGTGTGTAGCCCATACAACTCTTTTTCCAGTGTGGCCCAGAGATGCCAAAATGTTGGATACCCCTTAAATATTTGCTTCTGTTTTGGGTCCCCTGATGGAAGTAAGAAATGAAGTCTTAAACTTCATCTGCCCTTGAGTACTTAGCAAAGTGTATTCCATGTCTAAATAGCTGATAGATGGCCAGTTTGATAATCATCAACAGAGTGGCAAATTACATTTAATATTGTTATATCCCATAATGCCTTGATCGTTAACATTTTTTTAATGTCTCTTTCAAAAAGAAAAAATAATTGGGAAATAATTCATTTTCACTTTTACAAAGTGGTGCTATGGGTTGAGATTCAAAAGAGGCTGTAGAACATTAAGTGAGGGTAATATGTAGGTTGTGTCTTCATAAGAGCTTTAACTACTTTTATTTTCACTGAATAATAAGAGTTTAACAGACTCTTTTGGTATCTTCTAAAAAGTCACTGAATTCTGGCAGCATTTGACTGAAAACTAGTTAAAAGAAGGAATGCTGAGATAAATCACTAGTTACCAGCTCAAAAATTAGTTGATGACCTCTGAATCATGAGTGGGTGGCACAGGTATTCTATAAGTTTATTAACAACCTGAAAAATGGGGTAAATAGCAAGTCAGAAAATTTATCAAAACCACATAATTATTCAGATACTACACATACATGTAGTCAAAAAAAAGGGGTGGGAAGAACTTCAGAAAGACCGAAGGCAGTTAAGTAATCAAGCTCCACAATGGTGAATGGAATTGAGTGTAGCAAGTTCAAGGTAAGACCCAGCAGAAGAAGCAATTCAAACTACTCATGCACAGTACACTAATGGCTTCTGAATTACCCACAGCCTCTCAAGAAAGAAATCGAGACATTACCATCAACAGCTCAAAGAATATGTTGACTTGACAAACAGGAGAAGATTTTTAAAAAATAGGATATTGGGTTGTATTATGAAGAAAATCAAGGATAGTGTAAAAAATGATACATCTTTGTTATATATTAAAACATCTTAATAATTATCAGGAAATGTGGAATTAAAAAGTCACCTAGAATATTCCCTTTCATGAGGAAGACTTTATATTTTTAAAAACAATAGTGGGAAACATCAGGTAAATCTTAAAAGTGCAGTAAAAACATCCAAAAAAACTGTTAGAATTCCGTAGAGAAAGCATGAGAGATTTCATGTCTTCAGCAGGGGAGACAAAGCAGTGAGAAAAGACGGTGGCACGGTGAGTAAATTGTTACAATGGGTCTTAGAGGACAGGCTGGAGGCTGAGCTGAAGAACAGGACACCGCAGCGCTTTAAGCGACACCCCTGCCCCAGCTCTTGGAAACCCTTGTAATCTCTTTGTTATATATTCTACAGAGAAGGGGCAGTTTTAGTTACAGAGTATTTTTGACCATTAAGATCCTACTGGAATGCTAGACAGGAAATATCTTTGCATCTAGAAATGATGGAAAAAATCTGTGAGCATATTTGCAACAAAAGAGGAGTTAGTGTCAGAAGGTTATTTTTATCAGGTAGGCCATCACTGCCACAGTCTGAATCTAGGGAGGTGTAGAAAATTTGTTACTATTTACTTTAATAGGTGTTTATTCAGGATTTAATCTTACCCACCAGTATTAATTCCTTGAATAGAAGAAACACAGTGTA